CCATCGTTCTGCCCGGACACTGAGGTCCAGCTCCGAGGGCCTTCTGGCGGTTCCCTCACTGCAAGAAGCAAAGCTACAGGGAACCAGGCAGAGGGCCTTCTCGGTGGTGGTGCCTGCCCTGTGGAACGCCCTCCCGCCAGATGTCAAAGAGAAAAACAACTATCTGACATTTAGAAGACATCTAAAGGCAGCTCTGTTCAGGGAAGTTTTTAATGTTTGACGTTTTATCGTGTTTTTAATCTGTTGGAAGCTGCCCAGAGTGGCTGGGGAAGCCCAGCCAGATGGGCAGGGTACAGATAATAAATTATTATTATTATTATTATTATTATTATTATTATTATTAGAGGGAGTACCATGTATGTCACCTTAAAGCTCCCTGGAGAAAAAGCTGTGATATAAATGCAATCGGTAATCACACAATCATAGACTTGTAGGGTTGGGAGGGACCCCAACGGTCATCTAGTCCAACCCCTTGAAATGCAACAGCAACAGATACAGTAAATGGAAACGGAATTGGATTCCCCCCCCCTCACTCCAAAGGATATTGCAGGTGGTCCTATCCTGAGAGGGGCCACTTTGCCTCTAGGAAAGAAGGTCAGAGGCGTTCCTTGGCTGAGGGCCGTGATATTTAAGCAGGCTTGCAAGTGGATTTTAATTGTGTCTCGTGGACGTGGTTTAGGAGGCACTGCCTGGCTGTTTTCGCCCTCTGGTTTGGCGAGTTTAATTGGCTCAAGGCAGAAACAACTTTCGCTGATTTACACAACCTCATTTATGGTCCATCACCGCTTTATGGCTGCTTTATCACCTTGGCAGATGCAGCCTGTGGTGGATGAGTAATGAGCAGTTCTGGGTTTGCTTTTAAAACGGGACTGTTTACTCTGCCTTGTGCAAAACTTGCTTTTCGCTATGACAGGGGCAATCAGAATAAGGGCCACTAACTGACTGCTGATTCAGGACTTTAAATTGTGCTTTTACATCAAATTTCTGCGTATACTGTAATGTTTTACGGTTGCTATGGCCATTGGCTAACGCGAATAAAGTTTTATCTGTCTCTCTTTTCTCTATGACAAAAGGCAGAAGAAAACCTCCCTTGCTGGGAGATCCAGGACAGACAAAAGAAAGGACTCTTTTCACACAGCATGGTGTTAAACTTTGGAACTCCCTGCCACAGGAAGAACCTCATCTTGTAAAATAAACCTGTACCATGGCTCCCTTTTTAATTGTCTTTTTCTAAATTGCAGCTCATCAACAATTTAGGGCTAGCAGCACATCTCTGGGGTCTCAGTCACAAGCCATCTCTTTGGGTTATTATTATTTTTTAAAACTAGACATGTTGAGGATATTTCACCTTGGCTCTTCTGTATGCCAGGGGCTCTAACACCGAGCTAAGGTCCTTCAATACCCCCAGGTACTTCCTCTTGAAACCAGCCCTTTATCTGAACTCATGAGGACTAGAATCTTACTTTAGTTCTAGGAAAAGGCCCACTGCTCAGTGGCAGAGCTCCAACTTTGCGTACGGAAGGTCCCAAGTTCAGTCCCCGGTGGCATCTCCAAGTAGGGCCAGCGATGAAAGACTCTCTTCCTGAAAGCCTGGGGAGCTGCTGCCAGCCAGAGTCTGCAATACTGAGCTGAGTGGACCAAGGGGCTGGCTTGGAATAAGGCTACTTCCTCAGTCACTATTTGAATCAGACCTTAACTCAGAACCATAAGGACCAGAATCTGGACTTGAGTTGGGATGGGGCGGAGGAGAACCTGCAGGTAATAAAGGACGAAAGTTCTGGGCCAACTGCTGGCGCTGCTGGTGTGGAAACAGGAGATCAGGTTAGTCACGGACTCTTCTGGTCTCCTTGGAGCAAAGAGGCGAACTCTGGCCCCTTAAAGTGTAACTTCTGTCTGCCCAGCTGCTGCCCTCTTGACCCCTGCCAGGGATCAAAGCATCTCAGGCTTAAAAATTGATAGACAGCTCTCCCACGCTCCCTCGTCACCTTCTTTGTGGGTTGAAAGAGACCATGCAGGACTTTGGTTTAAGGAGGGCCACCGCCCAGTTGCATGTAGAAGGTTTGACCCATGATGGTAGGACTGGGGAGAGCGCTCGTGTGAAACCCTGGAGCAGGCATAGGCAAACTCGGCCCACCAGATGTTTTGGGACTACAACTCCCATCATCCCTAGCTAACAGGACCAGTGGTCAGCGATGATGGGAGTTGTAGTCCCAAAACATCTGGAGGGTCGAGTTTGCCTATGCCTGCCCTGGAGAGTCAGGTCAGACAGTACTGAGCAAGAGAGACCAGTGGCTCTGACTCAGTATAAAGCAGATTCCTAGTTAAACCAGAACCATGAGGACCAGAAACTTAGAATCATAGAATTGTAGAGTTGGAAGGAATCCCAAGGATCATCTAGTCCAACCCCCTGCAATGCAGGAATATGCTTTATGGGGATCGAACCTGCAACCTTGGCATTATTCAGCAGCACGCTCTCACCAGGCTGACTTGTTTAAAGCTTTAGGAGGGTGAATAAGACCTTTATGCTAGAGCACCTGTCTGGCATGCAGAAGGCCCCAGGTTCAACTCTCAACAGCGTCTCCAAGCAGGACTACTGAAATCTCTCATCTGAAAGCCTAGGGAGTCGCTGCCGGTCAGTGTAGGCAATGCTGAGGTAGATGGACCAATTGCCAGATTTGGCCTTAAGCAGTTTCCTATGTTCCTATTGAAATCATCCATTTATCCAGAACCATGAGGACTAGAATCTTACTGTATAGTGGGATGAACCAGACATCTGTGCTAGAGCATTCACAAAGGCTCCAGGTTCAGTCCCTGATGGCATCTCCAGGTAGGGCTGGGGGAGACCCCCTGGCTGAAATCCTGGGGAGCTGCTGCCCGCCTGTGCAGACAATACTGGTACCTAAGAACATAAGCAGAGCCTGCTGGATCAGGGCAGTGGCCCATCTAGTCCAGCCTCCTGTCCTCATAGTGGCCAACCAGATACCCCAATAGGAGACCCCCAGGACCCACGCACAAAAGCCACTCTCTGCTCCTGCAGTTTCCAGCAACTGGTATTCAGGAGGCAGAACCGAGCCACCCTGGCTAGCAATCCTCAACAGCCCTCTCCTCTTCTATGAATTTGTCCAATCCTCTTTTGAAGCCATCCAAGCTGGTGGCCATCACTGCCTCCTGTGGCAGGGAGTTCCACAGTTCAACGATGCTCCGTGTGAACGACGCACCTTCCTTTCATCTTCCCCAAATCTATAATCTAGAATCATGGGTAGGCAAACTAAGGCCTGGGGGCCGGATCTGGCCCAATCGCCTTCTAAATCCGGCCTGTGGACAGTCCGGGAACCAGCGTGTTTTAACATGAGTAGAATGTGTCCTTTTATTTAAAATGCAACTCTGGGTTATTTGTGGGGCATAGAAATTCGTTCATTTCCCCCCCTCCAAAATATAGTCCGGCCCTCCACAAGGTCTGTGGGACAGTAGACCAGCCCTCTGCTGAAAAAGTTTGCTGACCCCTGATCTAGATGGACCCCTGGTCCGACTCGGTGTGAGGCAGGTTCCAATGTTCCTGAGGGCCAATTTGGGGAGGCGAGAAAAGCGAGCATCTCTGCTCTGTAGCTCAGCACTGAAGAAGCTTCCCAAAGTGGGGGTGTCGTGCTTTCAGAAATATTCAGGTGATCATCTCAGAGGGTGAGGAAGAAGCCACAGCTTCTGCCATGCAAGGAGTGTGGTCTAGTGGTTAGGGGCGTCAAACTGAGACCTGGGAGACCAGAGTCCCCAATCTCCGCTCCTGGGACCTTCCTATCCAAAGGTCAGGATTTTGCAGTGGCTCGGGGGTGGGAGTGTCCTCCAAATCAAGGCTTGGCCCATCTGGCCCAGGGAACCCTCTCTCCAGTCCATTTGCCCAGCATTCATTTCTTTTGACACCTTCCCTGCGGCTGGAGTCCCTTCACACCTGGAGGGCAAGACGGGGAGTGAGCTGGAAGGGGTCCAAGCAGGAAACAGAATGGGAGCTGGCTGCTGTTTGGCTCCGGGGCCAGTAACTGGGAAACGGGCATGAAGGCAGCAGCAGCAGCAGAGCTCGACGGAAGGAGGTGGTCCTGCTAAAAATGCCGTCCTGTGCCCAAATTGCGCCTCTCTGCTCCAGATCCCTGAGGACTAGACTCTTGCAAGGGGTGGGGTTTCAAAGGAAAGGACCACAGCTCCGTGACAAAGCACCTGCTTCGCCTGCAGAGGGTCCCAGGGTCAGTCGCTGGCGGCAGGGAGTGCCTGGGGAAAGCTGCTGCCACCTGGAGAGCTGCTGCCAGCCAGTGCAAGCACCACTGGGTGGGGAACAAATGTCTGATTTGTGTGTGCTTTGGGGGTTGGACTAGATGACCCTTGGGTCCCAACTCTACCATTCTATGATTCTTAACATACTACAGTTCCCAGGATTCCTTAAGGGGAAGCTACCAATGACGGTGCTACCAAGCATCCGCTACCAATGAATGGTGTAGTTTATCTTCTCCAAAACAGCTGGGTTTTACCTGCTTTTCCAGGCATCAAGCTATTTTTCCTTTCCACACCAAAAGCCTCTTAACTTTTCTCTACTTCTCTCTGAAGGTTCCAGCATAGGAAGCTGCCTGCCCGGGAATGAGGCAGTGACTCATTGGGGAGAATACCTGGCGTTGTTACCAGCACTGCCATTGGGGATTGTACCTGGGACACCCTCCTTCATGCCAAACCGGTGCTCAGCACCACTCAGCACCACAGCCCTTGGAGCAGGTTATGGGAGACGGTTCCACGGATGCCGGGTGTGTGTGTGTGTGTGTGTGTGTGTGTGTGTGTGTGTGTGTGCAATTTGAAAGGCTCCTGCAGCTGCCAAACTTTCTCCTTGGATCCTCCTTGGAGCTTGCAATATGAAGGCCACTGCATGCAAACCCTCCGAGTTGCATTCCAAGGCACACAGAAACCCAGGCTTGACCTTAAACTGTGGAACTCCCTGCCACAAGAGGCAGGGATGGCCTCCAACTTGGATGGCTTTAAAAGAGGACTGGGCAAATCCACAGAGGAAGAGAAAGCTATTGCTTCCATTTCTCCCACTTCATATAGACTCATAATAGAGGTGGGAGGGACCCCAAAGTTCACCTAGTCCAACCCTCTGCAATGTAAGAATCACAACTAAAGACACTTTGCTCCACCTGCAGGGCTCTTCCACCTTGTTGGTTCCCATTTCATTTAGATTCCCGCCCCCCCCCATGCTGTGGTCGTCAGTTTGGAACAGGGGTAGGCAACCTAAGGTCCGTGGGCTGGATGCGGCCCAATCGCCTTCTCAATCCGGCCCACAGACAGTCAGGTGTTTTAACATGAGTAGAATGCGTGCTTTTATTTAAAATGCATCTCTGGGTTATTTGCGGGGCATAGGAATTTGTTCATTCCCCCCCCCTTCAAAATATAGTCTGCCCCCCCCACAAGGTCTGAGGGACGGTGGACCAGCCCACAGTTGACCCCTGGGTTAGAAGATGCTTGGAGGGCCTCTAATTCCTGTTATTATGTTAAATTACCTGTCGCATCTGCCCTCTGTACAGCGCAACACCAGCAGGGGCTTATCAGCAGCGTCCCCAGCAGTCACTCCTCCTGCTGAAGAGGCAAGCTGCTTTTCAGGGGCCACAATTTGAGGTGGCTCGCCTCTTCAGCGTGTTCCAGAAACGGCAAAGGAAACATTGCTCCTTTGGGACATGGTGTTCTCTCTCTATTGTTATTGCCGTCTTTGGGGCCCACCTGGAAGATGGGGGGGGAGTGTTTCCCTCTGCAAAGGGACTGTGGTGTCACAACCTCGACACCCCCCCCCACTTTTCCTCTGGAAGCAAAACCCTGTGCAGCTCAAGAGCTGTTCCTTCACCCTAAGCACTGCCCATAAAAGAAAATTGTGTCTTGATGGCTCCATTGCTTGCATCCTGCAGCCGCTGGGACAGGGCAAGGGAATCTCTCCTTTGTTGGGTGACAGGTGGCCCTCTGTCACGGATGCTTGAGATTCCTGCATTGCAGGGGGTTGGGATAGATGACCCTCGGGGTCCCACCCAGCTCTACAATTCTAGGATTCTGTGAATCCCCGACGACTCTCCTTTTCCATGGCGAGGGGCTCAGGACCCAGAGAGCGACTTACCTTGTAAGGTAGGACCAGGGGCAGGGGGAGAAAGAGGAAAGGGGTCAGCAGGACGATCAGGTAGTTCCTGTGCGCCAGAATCTCCCTCCACATGATGATGGGGGACGCTGCCTGCCTGGGGCCGAAAGGAGCTCTCGATCTCGCCTCCGAGGCTTTATAAAGGCTCCGGGGCACCTGGCAGCCGACCTTGGCACCTGAGCGCCCTCCTGCCAAGGAAGAAGAATCAGGAGCTGCTCGAAATCTTCCCAGGGAGAAACTCCTGCGCGCTCGCCAAGTTAACTCTTTGGCAGCCTCCCAGTTCAACGCTCTCCGGCGCACACCTGTGACTCAGGTGCGCGGATCCCGTTCTCCAGGTCGGGCTGGCGAAACCCGCCTCCAAGTTCCCACGCGCGGCAGCCGGCAAGAGCCTCGGCGGGGCCGCTTCAGTTTGTGGGCGTCTGCTGGCAGCAACTTCTAGGCCAGACTTGCCGCCCCCCAAAAGTGCCGCCCTCCAGAAGTTTGGGGCTGCAGATGCTCCCCAAGACGCATGGGAGGTGTTCCCAAAGATATCGGGAGGCGCACCACCAGGCTGGGGGCAGGCTCGATGGGGAGAATGCGCCTGTAAGCCGAGTTGCAGCCCCAACACACACACACAGAGAGAGAGAGAGCGCCTTGGCCTGAAACCGTGGAACTCACTGCCACAAGAGGCAGCGGTGGCCACCAACTTGGAGGACTTTGAAAGAGGATTGGGCAGATTCGTGCGGAAGGAGAAGGCCATCAGTGGCTACTATTAGCCACAATGGCTGTGCTTCTTCCACTGTTGGAGGCAGTGAATGCGGGGGTAAGGAGGGTCTACACTGCATTTTCACGCGCTCAGTTCCATCGTGAACTCCTGAATGCTTTCCAGATGTATGAAACTTGTTTGTTTTGCTTTTTTAAAATACTGCACGTGTAATTTGAAATAAAAAAAATAAAAATGGGCTGCAAGAGACTTTCTGTACCATTATTTTTAAGGGGGATCTGTTTTGCTCCTTTTCGCTTGCGATCATTCACTGGAAGGAATCAGCAGCCACCCCCACCCCACCCCCCAGATTAGAGGAGCGACACTGCCAGTAATATTTGCAGAGCCCCTTGCTCTTTCTCCAAAGTCCCCTCCCTGTTTGACAACAACCCTGGGAGGTAGGCAAAGTTCGGATACAGGAATCTGGTCCAACCTCTGCCAACATTACGCATTTGTATTGGTACTGCGCCAGTCTAACTTTCGGCCCCAACCACAAAACCTTGGAACTGGAATTGGTCGTCCGTCCCCGTCCCCCCCATCTCCCACAAAGCTTGGGTTAAACCAAGATGTCTGTGATATAGGGAGGGGAGGGAGAGGGAGAGGGTTGTGTTTATTATGGGATGGGTGATCATGCAGAAAATATTATCACAGCATCTGCACACCCTGGTTGGCATAGAATGGCGACCTGCATTCTCCGCTTCACCTACCCACCAATTTAACCTAGAATTAACCTTTCGAGGAAAAATCCAATGTTTATTATTATTATTATTATTATTATTATTATTATTATTATTATTAATTATCTGCTTCATGACCAAGTTAACGAAGCAGGGCACAGTGAGATAAAATGAGATAAAATAGCAAAGATTGCAAACTCAGGAAAACACCAGAAGAGCCTTGCGGGATCTGGCCTGTGGCTCCTCCAGCCCATTCTTCTGCGCTCACAGCAGGCGGCCAGATGCCTATTATGGGAAACCTTCAAGCAGGATACAAGCACAAGAACACAGCCCTCTTACGAAGGCAGAGCAGAGCCCTCGTGGCTAGAAACCACTGACCGTAAAATTTAAAATTTCAGACCAAACCTGCCTTGCAATTTTCTGAATGACTCTGTTATTTTAACTCCCCTTCTGGAAGCACCTCCACCCCCAAGGCTAAATTTAAAATAATAGAACTGTAGGGTTGGAAGGGACCCCAAGGGTCATCTAGTCCAACCCCCTACAATGCAAGAATATCGGCTAAAAGGGTCCCATTTTGCAGGCTGGGGTTAAAGGTGGAGCTTCCTGGCTCTACTTCTGAAGGGCTGCATACACACCATATCTTATCATCCCCCCCCAAAAAAACCCCCACCCATTCTGGGAACTATAGTTTACTCTGCACTGTGCTACGATTCCCAGCACCCTGTAGTTCATGTTTTGGGGAGGAAGAGCTCCCAATGTACTCGGAGCTTGCCCTTCTCATCTGGCCTCCCAGTGACTCTATCTCCTCGCGGTGGGAGGAGGTCCAAATTGGGGGTTCCCTTTCCTTGTGCTCCTGCTGCAGCCAAGGAAGGTTGAGGAGGGGGTTAATCCCCAGAGAAAGACACACCCTTCCCCAACACTTGATCCTCGGGGTGTGGGCGCACGTGCAGAGCGGAGCGGGTGTCGCAAGGCCCTGTGTGCCAACTCCTGGGAGAAGGACAAGGAAGTGAGACACACCTGCACGCTTTCTCTGTAAGGGGTGAAACTGAGTACCCAGAGGCAGCCTCCCCTCTCACGGCATCGCCCCGCTCGGCACCTAAAGCGCCTTCAACGCTCGCTCAAATAATCCCAGGAACTGCAGCAAACTGTATAGCGGTTTGCCGGCAGCGCCGGGATCCTGTGCGAACGGAGCATCCTCGCGGGCGTCACGACGCCTTCCTTCGCCCCTGCTCAGACCCACCAACTGTCCTGGCTTTACCGGGTCTTCCTGGATGACAGAAGGCAACCCCGGCTTCTGTTTTGATCCCAGAATGTCCCGTTTTTGGGTCCAGGGCTCTGGTGCAAGTCCTGGACCAAGAGACGCTCCATCGGATGGTCGTCAGCAGCGTCGCATCAAAGCACTTCCCCGTCCAGAGCTGTGGCACGACTCTGCGGATATTTGCCAGAGCGCCAGGCGAGAGCGGGCGAGCAGGGGGGTGAAGAGCGCAAGTGGCAAGAGTGGGCAGGGGGTGTCCCAAATTTAGTTAGGAAAAGTTGGAGCGTATGTGAGTTTTGTGGCTGAGCAGGAATTTGAACCCTGTTCTCTCCCGGGTCCCTAGTCCAGGTGTCTAACCATTCCACCCCACTGGCTCCGTTTTTAAGCCCGGGAGCCACATTGTCTCACGGGAAATGTTTTGGGGGCCAGGGGTCAGCCATGAATGGGCTGGGGGCCAAAGTGGGCGGGGCCAGAGGCAGAAGCAGCAGAGGAACGGATGTGACTCTAACCTTTGTACGTTAGATTATATTTCCAGCCGCAGGAAAGTTAGAGAGGCACATCTCCAGGAACGCAAGAGGCAAGATCACAGCTCAAGGCCGCATTCCACCCAGCAAAAACATTCAAAAAGGGGGCAGAGCAGGGGCGACCGGGGGCGTGGCCTGGAGAGAAGGGGTGTGGCTTAGGGAGAGTGCTGAGGTCCAGATTGAAGGGCCTGGGGGGCCAGATTTGACTTCCAGGACTGAGGCTTCCCATTGCAAGAGCTCTCTCTCTCTCTCTCTCTCTCTCTCTGATCTGATAATTTCCTTATCTGACGCCTTTTATAACATTATGCTGCAAAGTCAGCACATTATGTAAGATCATAAATCCATTAAAAATATCCCTGTAATAATTAAACCATCAAACTTGTGAGTGTGTGAAAGAGAAAGAGAGATCGCATCCCTTTGCTCTGCTTGGCTGAGGTTCACGTTCCAAAGAGATCTTTCAAGAAGCAAACGGAGGGAAGAGGGAGGGAAACAAAACCTGCCATCCCGAGGGTGAGCAGGAAGCTGGATCATGGCCAAGGGGGAGTGACTTTTTGCTTTCGCTCCCCCTCGCCCGCTCCTCTGCAGCCACACCTTGGAAACCACAGAGGCCTCTGCAGCTCGATTACTGAACAAAGAAATAATAATTCATGTGTGGTAGTGGTGCCAAAGCCAGGTGGCTCTGGGGGTCTGGGCACCCACCATTTTTTTGTGGGTGCCCGGCATCCGCCCCCCACCGCTGCCACACACAGCCTGCTGCCATTGCTGGCTGCCACCTGACCTCTGGTGCTCCAGGGTGGCAATGGCAACTAGATCAGGGCTAGCAAATCTCCAAACCTCCAAATCTCCTGGTCTGCCCCACAGAGGACCTTAAGGTCCATGAACAACCATAGTTTAGAGGTCCCAGGCCCTAAGGAAGTCAGACTATCCTCCACCAGGGCCAGGGCCTTCTCAGTGATGGCTCCGACCTGGTGGAATGCTCTGTCCCATGAGACCAGGGACCTGCAGGATTTAATCCTCCTTCCATTGGGCCTGTAAGACAAAGCTGTTCCGCCTGGCCTTTAATTTGATTTCAACCTGATCTTTTATTTCCCTTCTCTTCCCTCCCCCTCCCCTTTTATGAAGATTACCCGCTCTGAGACCCCACAGCTAATTCTCCCCTGGCCTCCTTGCTGGCCCAAGTGGGACCAATTCAGCCAGCTAGCCCTGGGGATTATCTAATGCTTAAAGGTAAAGGGACCCCTGACCATTAGGTCCAGTCATGGCAGACTGGGGTTGCGGCGCTCATCTCGCTTTACTGGCCGAGGGATGTGGCCAGCATGATGAAGCCGCTTCTGGCGAACCAGAGCAGTGCATGGAAACGCTGTTTACCTTCCCGCCAGAGTGGTACCTATTTATCTACTTGCACTTTGACGTGCTTTCAGACTGCTAGATGGGCAGGAGCAGGGACTGAGCAACGGCAGCTCACCCCATCACAGGGATTAGAACTGCCGACCTTCCAATCAGCAAGCCCTGGGCTCTGTGGTTTAACCCACAGCGCCACCCGCGTCCCTATCTAATGCTTATTTCCCCTAAATTGATTTTTGAATTTTATTGTTTTTCATGTTTTTACACTGTATTTTATGCTGCTTTTATAAGTAAGTGTTTTAAATTTGTTGTTAGCCGCCCTGAGCCAAGTTTTTGAACCGGGAAGGGAGGGGTATAAATAAAAATTTATTTATTTATTTATTCAGAGCAAGAGATTTCACAACCTCCTTATGTTTTCTCCTTTCCAGCACCTTTTGTCACCAGAGATACTGCCAGGGAAGGAACGTGGGTCCTTTGACCTGCAAAGCAAGGGCTCAGCCCCAGAGCGGTTGCCCCACATGGGCCCTCCACGTGGGGCGTGCACAAGGCCAGTCATTGTGCAAGGGATCCCAGAGCTCGTGCCCTCCACTCTTGAGGACGTCACAAGCACAAACATCCGTCTCCAGCCCATCCTAGCCGGTAATGGGGTGGTTGTGGTGG